AGAATAAAACAATAGTAAGAATTAAAAATATTTAATAAAAATAATAAAAATAAAAATAATAAATATAATAAATAATAATAAATATAATAAATAATAATAAGAAAGAAAATGATAGTAACAATATATAATAAAAATAAAAAAAATAATTACTATAAGGAGAATAATAATAATAATAATAATAATAAATAAATAAAAAATAAAAATAAAATATAATGTTTGTTTTATAGTTGGGGTGTATGCATGCATGCATTTGTTTGTTTGTGTATAGATAAAGAAACAGGAGATAGAGGCAGCGGAGAGTCTCCTCGACTGTCACCCCACACGCTTGTCTGTGTCTGCTGCTGCGGGCCCCAACACAGAAAAAAAAGAACATATGTTGTCTTTGGGTTTTTATTTACAACTCCCCCTCGATGCTGCTACTGTCTCCTCTCTAGACAGCTGTCTCCTCTCGTCTCTGGGGGCAGAATGCATGCAACCAAAGCCCCAAAAAAGTAGTAATATATCTCCTCCTCATCACCACCAAACCCTCATACTACATATTCTCTCGCCGCCGGGGGCCCTGTACCCTCTTGAGCCTCCTGTAGTATGGGTGGGTGTAGGGGGGCCCCCCTCAAAGGGGGCCCCCTCAGGGGGGGCCCCCCTGCTGCAGCACGAACCCTCTCCTTACAGTGCTGCTGCTGGGGCCATTCTGTGTGGTGCTTTTGCTGCTCACAACTCAGTTCGTCTCGCGCGTCCGCTGCAGCAGCTGCGTGCGAGTGTATTGCCTCTTAGAGAGGAGGGGGGCCCCCCCGGGGGGCCCCCAGAGGGCCCTGGGGGCCCCCCAGCCCCGGGGCCAGGAGGGATGGTGGGCCCCAAGCTGCTGAGTGTACTCGCGTCGCCTGCATGCGAAACCACTATCTCAGATGTTGCTGCGCTGCTGCATGCAGCCTGGCAGCTGGAGGCCCACTTCGATGAGCTGCTGGCTAAGGAACCCGAGGGGCCCCGCGGGATGCATGCACGGTGGGTAGCGGCGGCGACGGGGGCCCCCTCCTCCCCCTTGTCTCCTGCAGCAGCAGCAGAACCACCAGCAGCACCAGCAGCAGCAGCAGCAGCAGCAGCAGCAGCAGCAGGAGGAACAGGTAAGAAGGAGACAGCAGCAGGTATTGAACAGGAGGAGGATAGACGACAGCAGCAAGACGGAAAAAGGGGGGGGGGCCCCAGGGTACAGCGTGATGGTGTGAGCAGGAGGGGCCCCCCCCTGTCTCAGGGGCCCCCATCATCAGGGTGTATAAGAGGAGAACTAACAGCAAAAGAAATAGAAATATGTAAATATATAATTGAGAGTATAAAGAAAACAAACTCAGCTGAGGCGAGGGGACTGCCCGTGCGGCAACACTTCGATGATGTTTTACAGTTTATGTTAAACCCCACAAAGAGAGTGCTTGTGCTGCAGGGGGAGACAGGGTGAGGCTTAGTATTATATCTGCTGCAGCTGCTGCAGCTGCTGCAGCTGCTACAGCTGCTACATCTGTTGCAGCTCCTGCATCGTCGCTCCTCGTACATTCCTTTGCTGCTGCTGCTGCTGCTGCTGCTGCTGCTGCTGCTGCTGTTTTTGCTGCAGGTCTGGGAAAACGACTCAGCTGCCGCGCATGTTACTGGAGGCAGCAGCACACATCGCACTGCAGCAGCACACCTCCAACAGCAGCAGCAGCAGCAGCAGGAGCAGCAGCAGCAGCAGCAGCAGCAGCAGTATAAGCAGAGAGAAGTTTCCTGCTTATATAGTTTGTACGCAGCCCCGGCGGCTAGCAGCAGTGTCAGTAGCTAGCCGTGTAGCTAGCGAGATGGGGGCCCCCCTGGGGGGCCTCGTAGGGTACCACGTTCGCCTAGAGTCTAGACTGTCTCCTCACACCTGTCTCCTTTTCTGTACTCATGGTGTTCTTCTTAGACAACTGCTCAGTGGAGAGTAAAACAAAACACTCTTCTCGTGCTGCTCCCTGCTCGGCTGCTGCTGCGCTGCTGCTGCTCTGCTGCTGCTGTGCTGCTGCTGCTCTCTTGTTGCTTTGCTGCTGCTGCTGTGCTGCTGCTATGCTGTTGCTTTGCTGCTGCTGTTCTGCTGCTGTGCTGCTGCTGTGCTGCTGCTGTGCTGCTGCTATGCTGCTGCTGTTCTGCTGCAGCAACTCATGCGAGGTCTGTATGTGTGAAATCCAGAGACAGTTTCATCTCCTATCACACGTCGTGATTTGTCTCTCCTTTTAGTTATAATATATGAGGGTTTAGGGTTTAGGGTTTAGTATATATTTTTTTTTTTTTTCTCTGTCTCTGTCTCTGTCTCCTGCTGCAGCGCGCTAGACAAAGTCTCCGTGGTGGTGGTCGATGAGGTGCACGAGCGCTGCACTGAAGTCGATTTGCTTCTTCTTGTACTCGCAAAGGCTCTCGCTATGAATAAACATAATGTATATATACATACACATAAATATATTCCTGCTGCTGCTGCTGCTGCTGCTGTTGCTGCTGCTGTTGTTGTTGTTGCTGCTGGTGCTGGTGGTGCTGCTGGTGGTGGTGGTGGTGGCGGTGGTGGTGGTGGTGCTGGTGGTGGTGGTG